AAGGAAGGAAGGAAGGAAGGAAGGAAGGAAGGAAGGAAGGAAGGAAGGAAGGAAGGAAGGAAGGAAAGAAAGAAAAGAAAGAAAGAAAGAAAAGAAACTCATCACTGCCAACAGTAGAAAATGGATGGACAGGGCGTCGTCGGCGAGTGCAGCGTGACCGGCGGGGCCTAGAGGCCGGGCTGGTGTGTGGCCGCAGCCGGGTACCCAGGGCTGGGCCTGGAGCGCAGGCGCTGACCCGACTGGGCAGTGAGTGACCGGCCTTGGCTGCGGGGCCTTAACCCGGCCAGCCGCCGCGTTCTGCGTGTGGGTGGGCCTCGGGTGGGGTAGGATCCTACGCGGGGCGGCGGCGATGGACGCCTTAGAAGAAGAGAGCTTTGCACTGTCTTTCTCCTCCGCCTCTGATGCAGAATTTGATGCTGTGGTTGGATATTTAGAGGACATTATCATGGATGACGAGTTCCAGTTATTACAGAGAAATTTCATGGACAAGTACTACCTGGAGTTTGAAGATACAGAGGAGAATAAACTCACCTACACACCTATTTTTAATGAATACATTTCTCTGGTAGAAAAATATATGGAAGAACAGCTGCTGGAGCAGATTCCTGGATTCAGCATGGCAGCCTTCACCACATTACAGCATCATAAAGATGAAGTGGCTGGTGACATATTCAACAGGCTGCTCACCTTTACAGATTTTCTGGCTTTTAAGGAAATGTTTTTGGACTACAAAGCAGAAAAAGAAGGCCAAGGACTGGATTTAAGCAGTGGCTTAGTGGTGACATGTGCAAATCATCATCTGTGCCAGCTTCCCCGAACAACCTGCGGCACTAGGTCCTACCTCCAGCCAATGAATGGGATCATTCTGATGTCACTGGCCCAATAGGCTCAGCTCATGATGACAGAATACATCTTAAAAAGACTGATTCTGTTATGTAACTCTTCGTGTATGTTAAGTATTGATAGATCAAAACCAAAATGACCTAATCCCTCCTGGACCTGTTTCTCCTGAAACACCTTGTATTCATTAACCATAGTATTCCTCTCCTTCTCAAGTAGACACCTCTCTCAGGAGCTTCTGAGTCAGACGCTTTTGGAGTGAGCCCATGTCAGGCACTCCACCTGGGGGGGCCCTTCCCCCAGCACACATGCTGGTGTGTGAGTGTGGATTAACCCCCTGTCCCAGCAGGCTCAGCATGAATCTTTTTGTGCACTTGCACCCCTTTTTCACATGGGTCATGGTTTTAGCACTTCAGCCTCAGTGGGGTTCCTGATGTTTATCTAGGGTGTTACTCTAGCTCATCTTGAGATTTCGGAATCTCCTGTGATCACAGCTTGTCTCAGCTGTAGGAACCAACAGAAAGAGACGTCCTCTGCATAAAAGACTCCACTCGAAAAGTCACCCTTAGTCCTAACATTTCCAGTCCTAGTGTCACTGTCTTCTGGTTCTGATTTAGTCCCCACTGTTTCTAGAAGTCTCTTTTAAGCATTATTTTTGGAAAAAAAAATTTTTTTATAGATGAATACTCAGGCTAACCTAGTGGATGTGATCTTGGAACTTCCATGATTATCCACGTAAAAGATCAAGGTATTAATATGCTGTGAGCTTTTTGGGTGTTAGTGCTGTGAAGGCAAAAATGCTTTCTACATTAGTGTTCGTTCCTATGTTACTGGGCACCGATGAATATATGCTGTGTGCCAGAAATAGACAAAAACAGGTTCTTATAGCATGTTAGTGTGCTTGCATGTTTGCTGAAAATCCTTCTGTATAAACCAGTTTGTTAGGTTCTCTGGCTTAGGTAGGGACTGCAGTTTTTTCCTGTCAAAATCTCTCCTACCAAGATGGTGTTCCACTGCCCAGCCCAGCATGAGTAGCAGGTAGAATACAGCTTTACTGGCTGTTTGTCTGCTTTGGTGTAGTGCAGTGTGTGTTAGATTACTTATCAGAAAACATGTATGTCATCTCTAGGAAGAAAAAAACATAGTAGTCCAATTCCCAGTGTGTCCCTTTGACTTTTTTTTAATAGTAAAAATAAGAATCTGTACTGACTTTTCACTTGGCCATTCTGGTTTTAAAGGAAAAGCTACGAGCTCTGTGTTTTTCTGTACTGATCTGTCACTTATTAAATACTTTTGAACCATGAGTAAAATTTGAGGTGTTATGCAAGAGAAAAAAAAAAAAGAAAATGGAGGGACAACATCTTAGAAGTGCAATAAAAATGTGGGCAGAAAATTGCCTAAAGGTTTCTCCAGAAGAAACACGTAAAATGTATTAGGAAGATAAACAGGATAAGGACGAAGTATAGTATAAACAGCTGGTCTCAACTCCAGGGCTCAAGCAATATTCCTGCCTTGGACTCCTAAAGTACTGAGATTTTAGGTATGAGCCACTGCTCTTGGCTGGAAAAACAGCTTTTTTTTTTTTTTTTTGTGACAGAGTTTTGCTCTGTCACCCAGGCTGGAGTACAATGGAGCAATCTTGGCTCACTGGGTTCAAGTGTTCAAGTGGTTCTCCTGCCTTAGCCTCCAGCCTTGGCCAGGCTGGTCTTGAACTCCTGACCTCAAGTGATCCACTGGCCTCAGCCTCCCAAAGTGCTGGGATTACAGGTGTGAATCACCATGGCTGGCTGGAAAAATAGCTTTAATTGTCTAGCTCAGTACTGTGCACTAACAACTTTCTATGATGATGATTATGTTGATGCTGTTCAACGACTATGCTGTTCAATAAAGTAACCACTAACCACATGCAGCTACTGAGCACTTTTGAAATGTAGCCTGCACAACTGAAGAAGTGAGTTTTAATATTTATTTATTTATTTATTTATTTATTTTAAGACAGGGTCTCGCTATGTTGCCCAGGCTGGAATACAGAGGCTATTTATAGGCATGATCAGCACACTACAGCCTCAAACTCCTTCTGCCTCAGCCTCTCAAGTAGCTGGGACTCCAAGTGTATGCCACTGTGCCAGGATACTATTTAGTTTTTTTGAGGCACAGTCTCACTCTGTCACCAGGCTGGAGTATGGTGGCACGATCACGGCTCACTGCAACCTCCACCTCCCAGGTTCAAGTGATTCTCCTGCCTCAGCCTCCCGAATGTAAAACGCCACATGTAGTTAGAGGGTACCATATTGGACAACACAGATCTAGATGAATCCTATTACCTGAATTAAGAAAAAGTTTCCCACAAGTAGTTTCACCAATTTGATTTTCTTGCATCTTTGTTTATTAAGATAGTGTGTATATTGGGAAACAAAATTTTTAAATGTTTAATCATCCATATCTAACAAAATGAGAACTTCTAATTCCAAGTCCTCTTAAGTTAAAAATCCAGGATGTTATGGCTGGGCACGATGGCTCACGCCTATAATCTCGAGTGAAACTCCATCTCAAAAAAAAAAAAAAATAGCTCAATTTTTTGTTAGTTTTATTAAGCGTTTATAATCCTTATTCATTTATTGCATTTTCTCAGGAGAAACAAGAAGATGGAAAGGTTTAACAACGGGTGAAATGAGAGAGAGTGTAAGAAAGACCTAATAATGAAACTATCAAATTAATGTACCCCAATGATGGGGTCAATAGAGCCCTCTCAAGGGATGTTTCCGGCACATCATGAATGAAGGGAAAAAGATCAAGAAACAATAGACATACACTCATTATTATTCTACTTTTGTCCATGTAAGTCACAGTTTCATGTGAAGCTTGAATTTTTAGCAGTAACATGGAGTTGCATTTATACAATTAGACAATTTTTTGGCAATTGGACAAGTTTCTTGGACTAGCAAAATAGAACCGGAGGGTTCATCCCCAGACTCTTGGTTCCTGTAAAGAGTAACTGCACTACTCTTTGCTTTTTTTTTTCTTTCCCCCCAACATGAACATATAGGTCTGCTACCCTTCTCTACTCCAGGTTTGGAGGAACAGATCTGATCTATCTCAATCCAGCAGAATACATGTTTAACATTTATTACAAGAATAGACCTAGAGGGAATTTGGGATAAGAATGAGGGCCAAGGGAGTTCCTAGTGTCTGTGGTTCATTGCACAATTCCCACCACTACCATTCCAGGATTTAGGGATGCTCCCAGGAATAAATGTGCTCCTTCCGCCCCTCTTTATGCCAACAAGGGAATAAGGTAGGTCTTTTCAGGATAGAGGGTCTAGGCCAAAACAGAAAAATACTAAGCAGAGAAATGAAGCACAGAAAAAAAGGGCAGGCAAAAGCACCTCACTTGACAGTCTTCAGGTTCATATTTCAGATCCTGTTGCCAGCTTCAGTAGCTTTGTTCAGAGGTTATTTTGCTATCTTGTTGTGAATAAAAAATAAGTTTGTAGACCAGGCACGGTGGCTCACAAGAGGCCAAGGTGGGTGGATCACCTAAGGTCAGGGGTACAAGACCAGCCTGACCAACATGGTGAAACCCCGTCTCTACTAAAAATACAAAAATTAGTAAGCCGTGTTGGTGGGAGACTGTAATCCCAGCCACTCAGAAGGCTGAGGCAGGAGAATTGCTTGAACTCAGGAGGCAGAGGTTGCAGTAAGCTGAGATCGTGCCATTGCACTCCAGGCTGGGCAACAAGAGCGAAACTCCCTCAAAAAGTTTGTAAACAATAAAAACCCTCAAAGAAAATAAAGACCAACACATCATATATAATATATATTATAGACTAGCAAACAGCAAATCAAGTTGTGAAGTTCTGCAGAGCTCATATGTGTTTAAAAGACAAAGCAAACTTGGGTCTCACTCCGTCACCCAGGCTTGAGTGCAGTAGCACAATCACAGAGCACTGAAGCCTTGCTCTTGGGCTCAAGTGATCTTTGCACCTCAGGCTCCTGAGTAGCTGGGACTACAAGTGCACACCATCATGCCCAGCTAATTTTTGTATTTTTTGAGGTAGAGATGGAATCTCATCATGTTGCCCAGGCTTGTTTTGAACTGGGCTCAAGCAATCCACCTGCCTTGGCCTCTCAAGTTGCTGGGATTAAGGACATGAGCCACTGTGCCTGGCCTGAAGAAGTATTTAAGGGAAACTGGAAATCAGGATTAAACATGTATGACCTAATGGGTCATATTCCATTTGCCCATTTTCTTTCTTTTTTCTTTGAGACTGAATCTTGCTCTTGTCACCCAGGCTGGAGTGCAATGGCACGATCTAGGCTCATTACAACCTCTGCCTCCCGGGTTCAAGCAATTTTCCTGCCTCAGCCTCTCAAGTAGCCTGGGATTACAGGCATAGTGCCACCACGCCTGGCCTTTTTTATTATTATTATTATTTTTAGTAGAGACAAGGTTTCACCATGTTGGCCATGCTGGTCTCAAACTCCTGACCTCAGGTGATCTGCCTACCTCTGCCTCCCTAAGTACTGGGATTACAGATGCAGTGCCACCACACCCGGCTAATTGTTTTTTGTATTTTTAGTAGAGATGGAATTTCACCTTGTTGGCCATGCTGGTCTTAAACTCCTTACCTTAGGTTATCTGCCTACCTCGGCCTCCCAAAGCACTGGGATTACAGGTGTGAGCCACTGTGCCCAGCCTCATTTGCCCATTTTCAACATGTAGACAACCCTTTCTCTGTTAGCTGCTATGTCAACATAAGCACAACTTTAACAGGGTAGTTTATTTATGATGGCCCTAGCATCAAAAATAAGACCTGGCTCTAGGGTCTGCCTGGAAACCAAGCAAGAAAAGTTCAGAATTTTGAAGGATTAAAGACTGGCACCCTCCCTGTCCCTGCCCCCCTGCCATGAATATATCCCTCCAGGCAGCATGGGAGAAGTAGAAAGGGTTTATTCCTAAAAACCAGAAAACCTGAGCTTGTGCCAGGCATGGTGGCTTACACCTGTAATCCTAGCACTTTGGGAGGCTGAGGCGGGAGGATCACCTGAGGTAAGGAGTTTGAGACCAGCCTGACCAACATGGAGAAACCCCGTCTCTACTAAAAATACAAAAGTAGCCAGGTGTGGTGGTACATGCCTGTAATCCCAGCTACTTGGGAGGCTAGGCAGGAGTATCGTTTGAACCCAGGAAGCAGAGGTTGCGGTGA